TTAACGTATGATGATGAATGTAGTATAAAGATGTAAAGAATATAAAAAGTTAATGTAAAGATGTAAAGAACGTAAAAAGTTAATTTAAAGAATATAAAAAGTTAAAAAATGTAAAAGTTAATGTAAAAGTGTAAAGACTATAAAAGCAGTATTATTACAATAAAATGATGCTTTTGTATTTAGTATTATTTCTGGTATTATTATAATTATTGTTTCCATTGCAAATTACCTTCATGACATTTTGGAGCCATTTTGTAACTTAGAGAAAAATCTTGTAAACAACTGTCGATACAGACTTGGTACAGACTTGGTACAGACTTGATGCAGACTTGATACAGACTTTAGTGAAATTTCAGGTTATTATAAAATAATTATCGTTATATCGAATTTTAAATACAGTGTGATTAGTGTGATTAGCGTGATTAGCGTGATTGTATGATTTATGTACATACGTTCAAAAGCAAGAGAAATAATGATTTACTAGTGCTTTTATCACATGACATCATATCATCAACTCCACAACTCCATTGTTTATAATAATATAAAAAGGTCAAAGTGTCCAACTATTCTTAATTCTTCTGTTGACGCACTCCCTAATACATTCTCATTTTTAAAATTAAAAATGACGTATCCGATTCCATCTTCGGATCGTCGTCAATTTCTTAAAGATTTTCTCGAAGATGTCGTTCGAACCTTAAACAATCCGAATTTTGAAACTGTTCGGTACATATTCCCAAATGCAAGTTTCGACCAAATGGTTGAATTATATAGGCAAAAAGATTTATTGGCTCGAGATTTTTATGTAGCTGAAAATGATTTAAGAATTTGTCGTGAAATTTTAAGCTTTGATAATATTCAACATTTTTCTAAAACGTTAAAGATCGCGACCGATCTTCAAGTTGTTTGTGATTCTTTGAAACGTTGGAAGTGTACAAAAAAGTTTGTCATGGAATATACTATGAATTTTTCTCATGCTTTAATGGGTTATTGGGCAAGACATTATCAATTGATGAATCCGGATGTTGATAATTGGGATTGGGTGTAAGTTGAAAATCATTAACTGTTTATATTTACTGCAAACGTGATTTGGATCGAATCAGTGAAAAGCTTCATTCATTACCGTAGAATACCAGAAGCGATGGAATTACCATCAAATGATTATAATGATTATAATGATCATAATGATCATAATAATCATAATAATAATAATGATAATAGTGATAATGCTGAATCGGATTCCAACAAGTTACCACCACTCCCTTCAATGTAGGTTTTACATATATATTTTACAAAAAAAATTAATGCAAAATCACGCGTCATTAATCACGCGTCATTACAAATTCTTTTCAACATTTAGCTTTGGAGGGATCGTACCAGAACCTCCGGAATATAAACCATTAGCAAATGATCCATCCAGCATGTACGTATTCTTATTTTTTGCTTTAATAATATAATACGTAGCTATTACAATAACAATAATAAACGTGATAATTATTGTCTATATAGAGTCTTGCCTTATTATACACCAAAACGTACATTACAAGATACAAATAATAATCTTCTTCATTTAAAGAAATCCATGGAACAAAAATTAAAAGATTGTATAAATAACAAAGAAGAAGAAATTATAAATTGGTATTCAAAAAGATTGCGCGTTGTAGGATTTTCACCAAAAACACCAGATTCAATTCAACAATTACCATTTACTTTTAGAGGATTCAGTAGTGATGAACCAGCAATAGTGACGACAGAAGATGAGGGTTCATCTTTTAATGGGAATTTTGAACTTGATTTTTCATAACTATATAACGATAATAATAATAATATATAATTTGTGTAATTTTTTTTTTTTTTTTTTTTTTTTTTTTTTTTAGACATTAAGTAATTTTTGTTCATATCGATATGTGCTATTACATATTTATACTAACACTTATGTAGATATTTATGTAATAGGCTGGGTACGTACATACATACGTAGGCTAAAAGCCATGAATCCATATTTATCAATTAATAATATATATTATACGTAATATTCTTTTCATTTTGTCTAACGAATTAGTTTTGCTACAGTAAATGAATTTATTAAATTACTTGTACGTACGTATCGGTAGTATCGGTATCGGTAAATAAATTTAAAAGCTCTATTTCTATAATCTTTTTATTTAAAAGCACTATTTCTATAATCTTTTTATTTAAAGAGCTAATCTAGATTAACAAAAAAAAACACTAATCTTCGAAAAGTTTCGAAAAGCTTCGAAAGCTTCGAAAGCTTTGAAAAGTATATGAGAGTACAATATGATGATTGTGTATTATTATTTACCTTTTAATATTTCAGTACTTTGTGGAGATAACCTGTTATCTTTCTCTTATAAGCTGGAGCTTCAAGCCATACTCTATGAATTTTCAGAAATGACCGGCTCCCGCTTCATTTGGGTCGTTCAGAATTCGAAAAATTGATCCTAAATTAGAATTAGAAATACTGAAATCTAAGTTTATATAATATAGTGCTGGCTTTTAAATATATACTTAGTAACTGAAAAATATTTTTAACTATTAATTAATTTCTTATACTCTGTCATTAGTCCTAAATATATTATTATATCGCATTAAATAATTATTACATTTAAATAATAAAATAAAATAGCATGTAAACTTAAAATACGAAAACATAAAACATAACGTAAAAGCTTAATGACTCAAAAAACAGCAACTAGCGTATAGAAAAAAATATTCGTCACAAACGTCAGTCAACAACTAATTGGTTAAGCCTTTCAAACCCTACTTTAATGAATTTTCGTTTCACCTTAACCCAAATTTTAGATTCAAGAAATCAAACCTAACGAATACTGTAGTTTATTTATTATTAGAAAATAAGAATTACCCCGTATCAACCATCATTCAATTTAGTTAAAAATGAAAACACGAAGGGACTTAACTTATATACCCAAACAAATTGATACAAGGAATGAAGTCAGAAGAAAACGAAATATAATGACTGAAAAACTAAGTTTAGTAAATGGTGCAAAATAGGTACGGTTAATATTATACAGTATATGAATTAGGAATAATTACCTATAGCAATTCCGATGAAAATAAATAATAATATGGTGGTTCAACATTATATATAACCAAATATATAGCCCCAATTCAACCTATTAAATATTACTGTACTTGGGAAGAAAATGAAAAACTTGTGCAACTACAATTCATAAGTTTTAACACTGCAATAAATCTTGGAGATATATTTGTAGGTCTATCAAGCGTACATTTATTTGTTAACCTCCTTTTAGATGACGTTTCTCTTTTGATTGATTATAATATCATATAATATTAGGGCAAAAGAATACTAGAACAAAATTGCTTTCTTTATAAATTTATTATATATAAGTGTAGTTTTCTAAGCAATATATTTTATATATACGTAGCAGTTTATAAAATTTTAATACTGTAAGACCAATAATTAGGGCTCAGCTCACAAAACGTCACTATTTTTCTAGTTTAGATGACGTACATTACCTTACACATAGGGATGGCAAAAATCATGTTTTAAAACATTTGTTGATTGTGCGGTTGATAACTGAAACTGAAAATTACTATATATAATTGGACCATCTTAATTTGATCGATGACAT